ACGGTTAAATACAATTTTAATATTAGAATTAAATGTATAAAAATTTTTAAGGAGTCAAAAGCAGAGTTTAAATTGCGGCTTTGCCCACCGGAGCCCGGCTCCGGTACTTCTTAGTTTTTGGGATATATTCTAATTCTAGTCGGAGTGCACCAGAGACCTAAATAAGAAGGCTCCAGCACTTTTTTATATAACGGAACACTTATTTTAGTAGAAATTTGATCTAGAAAATTTTATTTTTAAAAATAAAATTATATAATAAATCCCTTATTAAATTTTAATTTATCTCTTTACATTTATTTAATTTCATTATTTAATTGCTTTAATTATTAATTATTTTAATAAATAATAATTAATAAATATTAATTATTAATATCAATTAAATAATTATTAATTAATTTGATACTTATTAACTATTTGATTTTTAAATTATTAATGATTTTAATAGTTATTTTATTTATTTATTTACTCTTGTTCCTCTTTCGTGATGGTCTTTCATAGGGCTCCGGCACTTCTACTTTTAGAAATTAAGCCCTGGTCAAAAGTGTTTATCACTATGATGTATTATGAAATATAATTCCTTTTTAGATATTGTGCTATAATACTCATCTATAATTTTAAAAAAGCAGCACAATTTAGAATTTTAAACAAAACTTCAAAAATTCGATTTTATATATTTTAGTATTTTTTACTTATTTACACCAATAAAAAGCATAAAAATTGCAAAAGAAAATTGCTTGTTTGAAATTTTCTATTAATTCAGATTTAAAATATTATTCTCTAAAAGAAGTAGTTACAAATTTTCTTACAGCATAGGAAAAGCTAAAAAAATATCCAGTCCTGAAAGCATGCAATAGCTTTATAATTATTTGGAACGCTAATGATGCTTGATAAATATGCTAAATTTTTAAAAATCACTCTCTTCAAAAATAAAAATATATATAAATTCTAATTTGTGAAATGAGACGCTACAACCAATTTTTTCTTGACAATTATACACGCTGCAATAGGCAAACACTGTTAAATTTCTTCAAGTCGTCCCTACTCCTCCGGATGTGATCAAGGTGACAGTCGGCAACGCCTCAGACGAGGGAGAAAACTGGTTTGGATTAGTCTATTTCTTATAAGGTCCATGCGACTGAATTTGTGATGTCAGAGGTCATGTGAATATACGATGTGTCACGAAAAGCACGTGATCTCTGACGTCATGTGCTACTTTTTGCGACTTTTCGATTCTTCTCTTGTTCCTTTCAGTTGAAAAATTTCTGGCAACATTATTCTTGACAGCTGGATGAGCTGACTTCGTATTGGTTTGGCGATTTCTTCTATACGGATTTAAAGAGTAGCTACTTTTCTTTAGAAATCTTGCAAGTGGACACTCAGGCTGTGCAGGTAGCCCTAGCGTTTTTTTTGGCAGCTCTTAATGTGTACCTATTTATTTACCGTAGTCTAAAGCAGGGGCTCTCAACCAGGGAGGAATTCCCCCGCTTTAGTTTTGGGGGGATGAGATCCGTCTTATTTACGTGTTAAATATTTAGTTTTAGTTTACGAGCATTAAAGACCACTTTTATTCAAGTTTTGATATTTATCAGCATTTTCTATACTTTTTCTTGTTGAATTTATAAGACGCATTAAAAAGTAATTTAAATTTAAATAAATGTATATATATATTTTTCGGGTTTGGGAAAAGAACGGGAGGAATGATGGTCTAGCAGTGGTGAAAGGGGTGCATGGGACGAAAAAAGGATGAGAACTCCTGGTCTAAATCTTCGAAAAACTTAAAAGTGTAGCACATAAATTGGCTTGTAATTGTCTAGAATGTTTTTACGGTAAATTGATGGGTAATGTTTGTGTGGTAAATCATCTAGCCGAAACATAGTGGGCAAAAGGCCATGGCAAAACACATCGCGACCATAATTCCGCAGTTTGGTTTCATTGGTCCATACTTGTTACACTAGATGTTGCGCGCAAATAAATTGTGGAAAAACTGTTTGTTGGTCGCATAATATAAATGTTGTCATTTTCGTATAGCCAAATTAGCCTAATATTGATATCAGTAATTCCTGTAATGAAGGATCTTCAGAAAACTTTTGCTGGATCTCGAAAAGTTTTATGTTCTCTGTATATAATTACGTGATATTATTTGATATGATGAACGAGAAATCTGTTACCTATATATATTATTAAAATATAATTTCTCTTTTCCCCCCTCCCTAAACTAAAACATTAATTTACTAAAAATTCTCAAAATTTTTGTTGTGTAGTACAGAGGAAAAGTACGTACTTTATTCGATTAAGCGAGTGAAAATAAAGATTTGCAATAATAAGCGAAAACATGCGTTAATTTCAGTTTATAAGCTTACTTCAAGTGTGATTGGTCAAGATGTATGTATTATTCGAACGTCAAGATATAAAGATGACTGTTTAAAGTAGTGATGCCACTTTCGTCTTAAAAATGATTTTGACGTTTGGTAAAATATTTATGCCGTTTGGTACACAAAGAAGTTGGTTTGGCAAAGTGAGCGAAAGTTATCTGTCTGCCTTTGGAGAAGGCTGCCAGTGATTGTTATACGGGATATAGGTAATCATAGGCAATGGGTTACATTGATGCAATATTTCAAGAGGCACCCTGGTAGAATTGTCAGTATCCTGTAGTTTTACCTTTGCAGTTACTATATAAGGTTTTTCTGCCTCCTTACCTTATGCCTTAGTTGTATAATTGGAATGAATATGATGGACGATAATTCATCTCCACCTTGATCTGACGTTTGGATCCTCACCTCCCCAGTTTTCCTTTAAGTAGGATTTCTTACCTCTTACCGCACACTTTTGTGGTATAACAGATAAGCACGTTCGGCTAGCAGTCAGAAGGTCAGTTGATGGAATCCCGGCCAGGGATTTGCTCATTTTTCATGTTTCCTGCTTTGGCAAACCTAATGAGTCTACAGCTAACCGACCTTTATCTAGCATAGTACTAAATAAAAGCCACGAATGCTGTTTGTTAACTGAGTACTGATATGCAAAAAACACATTACATATTGTATAAGTTTCACATTTTTATAATGTTCTTCATTGAAAGAAGGCAAGGAGTAATTTTTAACACTATATAACGCACAGTTATGTATTAATTAAAATATATTAGAATACAATATTAGAGTTTTTGAATAAAATTTCTGTATAAAGATCAGCTTACATTCCAAGACAAATGATTATTGTTTTCCTCCTGCAAATACTACTTCACTTATGTAGGCAGGATATTGTGAATCCGAACTTTTCGTTATGAGCTGAATATACGAATGCAAACATAACCTCAGAGAAACATGACGTACTTATCCCGAAGTTATTATCTGGCTTCATCTTTGCTTACAATTTATTAATGCGCCGATCCATTAGTCTGGGGAATGGAATAGAATGAAATCAATACTACCATTCGGACGATGGAAACAGTCACTGATTGGTGGAACCTAAGTAATTTCGTTTTGCTCTGAATGCTAGGGATGAAGAGTTTGCTACGTGAAGTTTTCATCAGTAAGCCAGTAACTTTAGCCCTTAATATTGAACGTTAGCGCATGAATAAGAAATAAGTGTTTATGTTTTAGAAATAAGTGTTTCTCATTTAGTCTTTAGAAATAAGTGTTCCAAAACGGAACTGCCCGATTTCAGATCGAGTTAAGGCTTACGTATCTGTGGAAAGTTACTTTCTATCTTGAAAATAAACAGTTGATAAAATTCCAGGCTTGTTTGTTTCTGATATTTTGTTTGGAAAAATTTGAATATAATATTTCAAGAGGCAAACTAGCCCATGTTGCTCAGTGTTTCCGTTTTTCCTAAACAGCAGGCGTTGCAAATCTCTTGTTTTATTTAAGCCCTTGGAATCAGTGCACGCGTGCTGAGTTTTTTGGTATTAAAGGAAGGGAAAATACTGCTTATTTATCTTGTTGAAATGCATCGAGTTTTTTCATTTGACATAAACGTCAAACAACTTAGTCTATTCTTAATTTACTCAGCCCACCAGCGGCCGAGCGGGTAAAGTCGCTAAACACTGGTAGTTCGGTCCGAGGTTCGAATCCCGCGAACGGGCTGGCTGCATGGGCATTTTCGTGGTTTTCCCCATGTGTAACGTGTATACGAGCCAGTTTCCCTTAGAAAGTCCTCCACGAAGATATCCCTCCCTTTAGGCAGATAGCCCTCGTGTGCTTTGCCATAATTAAATACACCAACACCAACTTAATTTACTCATCGATGTTGTAAAAAGAATTGACGAATTGTAAGAGGTTGATAGTGCGTACGAAAAATAGTCGATAGCTGAAGGAATTGAAAATTTTTATTAAACACAGTACTGTCGGTTATCCGGGCTAATGGTGGGGAAATAGATCACGGAAAATGAAAATGACTGTTAATCCAAACTATCAGTTCTCATGCATATTGTATGTATTTATTTTTTAAAGAAATCATAATTTTATTTTGTTTTTGAAAATATTAAAATATTTGTCGAATTTTACCGCGTATTTTTCCGAATGCTATTTTATAACTGTGTTGTAATCCCCCATTGGTAAGTCCAGTAGAGTTTCAGCAGAAGTCATTTTTGTGTCTGGACTAATGTAATTAATTGTCATTACCTTTTTGGCTTGGACTTTCAGTATCTCTCTCTGTCTCTTCTGTTCTTGTGACATTTGAAACTATATTCGCATTACTCAAGCATTGAAATCCTGGCTCAATCTAATCTCCATTTTTCACATTTTTCTTTAAATGGTTAGAGAGTTTCTTTTATGATGCAGAGTTCACAGCTTTTAAAGAAATCTTCCTGTCTGTAAAATGAAACAAAAATTTGATAGAAAAACGTTTTAGCGGTATTCTCCTGTTTATGAAACTAATCTAATATGTATGAAAATAATGTTAGCTTTTGACAAGGTGTGTAAATTGTCTAATTAAGTTGTTTGTTATGTTAAAATTATTCGAATTTATGCTGCAGATAAACTGAATCTTTTATTTTCTTTCTTTAGAAACGTCTTATGAAAAGGCGTGCTCGGACCGCAGAGGAAGTGCCCCGGCAACGCCGGTGCTGGGCATCCGGACGATGGATACTACCACACCATCCAGGTTTGCGGTAAGTAGTTTTAGAATACATTTCATGGGTTTGACATCGTCATTCTTTTTGATTTCAGCACTAAAAGTTAATAATGCTGCATCTTAATCTAACAGAATATCCATATAAATGCATCATTTTTATCTATGCGTTGTGAAACAGCAAAAATAGGAGCTGAATTTATTGAGCACCGTATTTCCTGGTGTATTTTTTCTCGAAAATCGAGAGGGGGGGAATTACGCTATTCTTTTAATTTCTGAAGCAGGCGGTTACAGTAAAATACACCAGGAAGTGCGGTATACATTTTAATGTATAACAAAAATATTTTATGATATATTTAAAAAAGGTGATTTGGAGCTGAATGATCTTTGTCGGATATAAAATACGATAGATGAAAAAATTAAATTTGGCCTATAGTGGTGGTAGGAGCAGGAGGGGAATCGAATTTTTCAGATTTGTCAACTATCTGATGGGCTGTAGTTCAAGTTAAGGCTAGATATTTATTATTGAGAGCTCTGCATCTTTGCAAAGTTAAACATCTTTTAATGCACAGTTGTAAAAAAGTCGCATTAAACTTTGTAAAATATTAGTAAAAGATGTAATATTTAGTATAAAATATTATATTTAACATAGACTTTATTGCGAAAGTAATAAAGAGCGTAGCAATAACTTTAGAGAAGGAAAACCACTTTGTTTTAGGCAACAAATGAGACGGATGTTAACCCCTTTTTTCAGAATTAGCATTGTAGGGTTTTATTGTTATTAACTAGTTATCTTTTCATTTTTGCTTTACTATCACTTTTCTTTTCTTTTCCACCAATAATGGGGCATCCATTCACCGGGTTTAGTTCGCTTTCAGTCATAGTCGTACAATTTTATTTATGCTTGTGTCTTAGTTTGTCTTTACGATGCAAACCAAATATGAGCATCTAAAGATGGAAACTTGTCGGCCAGTTAATGGTAATACATCTATCTAGTAGGGAAGGATGACACGCAGTGGGGAGACAGTTCTGTGCGTTATATTATTTGCGTGCTCAGAAGGAAACAAAATGATTAATACAGTACACGTACATACGCTATTATAAAGGTACTAAAACTATTATATAGACACAAATTTTAGCCGAATCCCTAGTGATGAAATACGGACATGATAATATTTGCATAAACAATTCCCATATGAATACAGCTGAGAGCACTTTCTCTGGCAAATTTCATATTTTAATACCTAATTTTACTTTTATTTTGTTCCTAGTGATCTTGCAAGATGCTAAGACTATTTCTGTCGTTCCACGGGTTGTGCATCTGTTAGACTAACAAGATAAAAACGTGTATTTAAACTCTCTTCTATGTGACCGAGGTGAAGAAGGAGCGAAAGGTATCACGAACCCAGAGAATTTAAGGTAGTTACCAGAATTCCGAAGCCCTTGAAAGATTTTGGTGCCTCCACATACATTTACGTCAAATTTTCTGAGTTCTTTCTGTCTTGGTCTAGTTGCATCATACATTCCATGGTAAAGCTGGCAATGAAATTTTTGTGGTACTTCCTTTCCTTAGTGCCTTTTTGTGGTGCCCCTTTTGATCAATACCTTAAGCACGTGCTCATTTTACTTAATGGTTAATCCAACTCTGGTAGTTAAGATCAGTGCCGTCTTAACACTTGCACCCGCCGGACACTTGCCGGGAGGCCCCACAAGCCTATGGGTCCTATGCTAATCTGTGTATATCACTCGACTTGGCATTAATGAACTGGTGATTGCCATAGGAACCTCAGTACACTGGGCCCTATGACAGTATTATGCATCCCTGAGTAGGATCCATATAAACAAAAGCAGCTAATTCATAAAGGCAAGTGAGCAATAGCGTGAAGTATTCTTCATCCTTTTCTGATTTTCATGTAAAGATTATAAGAGTTTTCTTCCATACTATTATGAAAATCTATTCTTTTCACATTCTGTTGTAGAAAGCGATGAGGACGGCGAAACAGCAGGGAAAGTACCTATGTACTTGAATTGTGCTTGCTTTCTGGAGCCAGACTTGTTTATGTGCTAAGTGGATAGAGCTAGCTGGATTTACGTTGATCTTTTTTCTGATAAATTGCTTGTGGGTATTTATTGCTATTAGACACCGCAGCGAATAACAGTATTTACAATTTCCTGGGTTAAAAGAATTCATGAGATTATGAAACCGCATTGCCTTTAGCTAGGCCAGTCACTTACCTTAGGGTGATTCTCGACTATAATGTTTCATGGTCCCCACACATATACTTCGTTATTCACAAGTTTGCGGCACGTAAAGCGAAATTCTACCCCTCAATAGCCCGAAACAGATTTTTATCAAGTGACAGCAAGTTTTTTTTGGGGGGGGGACAAAACTTTCTTGGCTTTGTGCTTTGTTACGTCCACTCAGTCTGGGCATACTCCTGCCGCACCAATCGGGGAAAAAAAAAAAAAAAAAAAAAAAAAGGTATAAACGGCTTAGAACTGCATCTTGAGACAAATATCTGGCTGCCCGTTGTATGTCAGAAGTAATAAGATTCACGAGGAACTGGGTATTACCCAGGTACGTGCCTATTATCATACAGTTTTCATTTAAGCCTTCGGAAAAATAGCAGTAGCATTATTTCAGTATATAACTATTAACTACTGTTCCCCAGAGACATCAAGAGATCTGTGGCTTAATAACCTAACTAGATGCCATGTCATTTATGTAACTGTCTGACATTTATTTTTCTATATTGATGCATTTTTCGGTTGCGTGTTTTGAATCAGTTTACCTTATATGGTCATTCTTTCTGTGTCGCATTATTCCTTCTTCAAGAGCTCCTCATACATGTTTGCTGAACTTATGAATAATTATGTTTTACAATCAGTTTCAACAGAGGTTGGGATCCGAACCAGGTTATTACTCCAATCAACTCCCAGTGTTTGGTAATTCATAAAATCGATTTAAACAGGCAGTTTTTGACAGCCAGTGTACTTTTTTTGTGAAGGAGCAAATAGTAATTGAAGGATTCGATAAAAGGTCAAGAAATCCCAAGAGTCAAAAAAAGTATTTGGGGACTTTAGTGGTAAACAGAATATTCTCTCAGTGCATTTGGAATAGAATTTACAGCTGAGGTGGCAGTTTAATGTTCCCCTATCTCCTGATACTCTCCACCTATTTTCCACCCCCGAATTTGCAGGGAGCGGGGTGGAGCGGAGCCGTCTGTTTTAAAATCCATTTAGACAAAAGAATGTTAGAAAAGCGGAGCGGGAGTGTGCGAGGAGAGGCGACGCATTTGAATTTCAGCTTAGGGGATAAAGTGAAATCTTTGTTGATTCCTTTAAAGAGGGAAAAACTTAATGGAACATTCTAGAAGTATATGCAAATCAAGTTTTGCCAATGGTTGTGCGACACGCATGTGAGCATCCTTATTTGCGTTAAAGTGTTACCATAGAAACGAAACGATATTTCCCATCCCCTTTTTCTTTTACCTCTGCATGTATTTGTTTTTCTAAAATGGTTGAGGGAAGTTTCGAAGAAGTACCTAAAGTCGATTTGATTATCCTTTTTTGAAAGCTTTTATCTTGCATCTAAACTCAGCTCAGCATTAGAATATGAGTGTTATTTTAAACCGTGTTTTGGTGTCTTTTAATTGTATGCTACCCTCCAAAAAGTTGTTTTATTGTACAACTAGTCCTATTTTGAATATTTGGAGAATCTTAATGGCTTTAAAACATAAGTTGTCTTTTTAATTGGCTTGTATAAATAAATAATTTTTCATTATTGAGTGGTATTAGCAAATTTAAATGGTTTTAAAGTGCAGGGTGTGTACGGATTTAAAATCTAGGTAAGCATGGATAATAAAGAGTTTTTATGTTTCCCAAACTTCTGAATGTTTAAGAAATCTAGATGAAGCTTAATTAATAACACAAATGGTGCATTCTTTTAGTTCGGTAATATTTATTTAGAGAGCAGTATTAGGCGGGTTAAGTTCTTGGAAATTTTTTTTAATTATTTCGTGCACTAATTAAGAAAATTTTGAAATCATTATTTTTACGAATTTACCTAATCACTGGATCTAATTTAATTTTTTACAATAATAAAAGAAATTTAAGGAAGTTTACTCTTTATTAAATATATAGCATTTACAGATAAATAGTAGTTAAAATATGTAAAATTAATTATTTCGTTAAAAATCGATTATTTGCTGCTTTCCATTTGGAAATTAATTTATTTAATGAGTCGATAATTTCCTTCACCCCTCCAATTTTAAAATTATGAAAAAAATTCATTTTTTTGTATCTCCTGATTCATATTTGATCTGAAAATTGTTTTATTATTTGAAAACCATTTGATCGAAGTCTGTCATCATAAACATCATGAGGTTTTTTAAACTTTCGGTCTTATCCATATATGTAGGCTGTTTCGAAAAGGCCACATTTTCTTAAATCTTGTTTCTAGATAGGCACTTCCAAATACAGATTCCTCGAAATAAAATTGAAAATTATTTCAATTTTGGGTAAGGAGGGCTCTAAAGAAAAAATAAAATATGCATTATGCTTTAATGCATTATACGGCAAATCGTTTCGTGTACGTTTCCGTGTGAGTTTTGTTCAAAACCATGTGTATGCTACGTCGACACATCGATATATTAATCTAGACGACTTATGTTAATTGATTAGTGGTACATTCAAAACTCACCGACACGGATTCTATCTACTCAGCATGTAATTTAAGGCTAATAACGTTTGGACATTAATCAAACGTAAGAATTCGTTTTTAAATATATCAGATAAACAATATCTGTAATTTTTGTACCTGCAAGAATATACTGCACTTGTATATTATGGAATGTTAAGAATATATAATAAGTTCTTTTCTTAGTACAATTTCCATAGTTTTATAATTATTATATTCTTGCGTGATGCAGCTTTTAGCCTTTTTGCTTGCATTATGAAATTACTTATTTATAGGACAGAAATGCAATTTCGTTTCCATCCATCATTTTTGTTGAAAAAGTCGCAGATTCTTGATAAGCT